TCTTTCTTTCTTTCTTTCTTTCTTTCTTTCTTTCCTTCCTTCCTTCCTTCCTTCCTTCCTTCCTTCCTTCCTTCCTTTCTTCCTTTCTTTCTTTCTTTCTTTCTGCTTGAGACAGGTCTCCCTGTAGCTCCCTCTGGCCTCAAACTCACTGTGTAGACCAGGCTGGCCTCGAATTCACAGAGATCTGCCTGCTTCTGCCTCCTGAATGCTGGGACTAAAGGCGTGCCCCACCATGCCCGGCCATTGCCCTGTTTTACCAAATGTTCTTCTTTTCCCCTTGGCAGAATTTGCGAAGGATAACTCCTGTGGAGCTTGCAGATGTGGAGCAGTTATATGAATTTCATCCTCCTGTTTGGATAACTGACACTACACTTCGAAAGTCTCCCTTTGTTCCTCAGATGGGTGATGAGGTGACAGTAAAAAATTTAAAAGTATGGATATGAAAAATCAAGCCTACATTGCTCTGCAGTTTTCTATTTAAATGAATTCTTCTCTTTTGTAGGTAATCTATTTTCGTCAGGGCCATGAAGCTTACATTGAAGCTGTTAGAAGAAATAACATTTATGAACTGAACCCTCACAAGGAGCCATGGAGAAAAATGGATCTTAGGGTAGGCCACTGACGCTGCACCGTTTCCATGTAGAAGGCTGCTGTCCAAAGAAGTAAAAGCTGGAGGAAATTTGGCCTTGTGTCATAAAATCGTGAAGTAACATGACCTTTTCCAGTCACTCCTGTTTTATAATTCTCTGTCCTTGTAACTCTTGTCTGAAAATAGAGCATTTTTAGCAGGTAGCAAACATTTTAAGTTACCCAAATCGCTTACAGGGTTGTGGAGTGGTCCATGCTTTCTAGGGGGGTGTACTGGCAATTAGAATTGAAACTGAACGAACAGTTTTCAGATCTTTTAAACCTGAGATGATATTTTTGATAATTTAAGAGACAAACAGAAATGCTTGTACATTTATGAAGAAGGCAGTTCTGTCTTAATGTATTTACGAATAAATGGCAGTAAGCGCCATGTTGGCCTGTAGTAGTTAGGGAAGCCACAGTGTGCTCACGGAGTGGCTGCTGTGTAGGGCCCACATGTACATGAAGCCTGGGATTTGTTCAGTGAATGATGGGAGGGAAAAATCCATGTGTGATATGTTTTTGGTTAGCATACAAGATCTTGTAAATAAATACTTTTGTACCTGAAAAGAAAAAAAACAACAAAACATAAAAATGCCAGTTTGATTAACTGTGTTTATACTTTTATAGATTTTTTTTGTTTGTTTGGTTTTGGTTTTTTGAGACAGGATCTTACTATGTAAACCAGGCTGGCCTGGAACTCACAGAGATCCACTTTCCTCTGCCTCTGCATACTGGGATTAAAGGCCTGTGCCACCATATCCATTGACTTTTACATGTTTTGATACTTAAAATAACTTAGGGAATGAAAAAAAATTACTTGTTTGTTTCTTTGAGACAGAGTCTCACAATGTAGCCCTGGCTGACTTGGAACTCACTATGTAGAACAACAGGTTGACCTTGAACTTGCAGAGGTCTGTCCCTCTTCATGACCATGCCTGGCCAAAAATATTTTTTTTGTCTTTTTTGAGGCAAGATCTCCCTGTAGCCACAGCTGGCCTGGTGTTTGCTATGTAGACCAGGCTGGCCTCGATCTCACAGAGATCTGCCTGCCTCTGCCTCCTGAGTGCTAAAAAAAAATTTTTTTTAAAAAATATTTAATGGCTTTGTTTGTATGAATCTGGCTTAATAGCATCTATTTCCTTACTGTGTTTCTAAGCACAGTGAATCCTCCTTCATGGAATTCAGTATTTGCTTATAACTTGCATAAGTCGGGTAGAGCTGTAAACTCAATACTTCTGGAATGCTCCATGACTGAACATTTCATCACCTCTTGGGCCTGTAGCAGATGAGCTGGAGTAAGCGACTGTCTTGTGGCTGCAGTGCTGGTGCTGCAGCATCCGTCTCATTCCTGGCTGTTCAGTGGGCCTGCTTTTCAGATCTGTGAGTTTTGTTGGTGATTCTACTGTTGATAATGGCCTACAAGCATAGTTTTGAATTGCTGGCTCATGTTTCTTGGTACAAGAAGGGTGTGGTAGATGATGGAAGAAAATGAGATTTGACAAGCTTCCCTCAGGTGTCTGTTGGGCATAGTGCTGCTGGCTGTGAGCTGGGTGTCACGACACTGAGAAAGCATCTGTGTTCGCTTCCCTGCATGCTAGTCATCCTCTCATTCCTTCCTTCTTTTCCCTTCTCTTTCCGTGTCCTCTTTTTTTGTCTGTCATTCTGTCTGACTGTGTAGCTCAGGTTGGCCTTGAACTTACTTCCTGTCTCCACCTCCTGAATTCCTTGAATTACAGGTCTGCTTATGCCACACTAGAGACATGAATTCTTGAAGACTGTCCTTACTGTCCTGCTTGTCCTCAGCTTCCTGATTTCAGGATTGTTGGCTGCAGATGAGTGGTGTTAAGGCTGGACACTGCTTTCTGTTTGTTGATTGCTGTGATGTGGTTTTTTTTTTTGCTCTTTGAGTTACTGTGTTTGGTGTAGTACATTTTTAGTTCAGGTAATATGGTGCCCCCTGCTTTCTTTTTGCTCAAGGTTGTTCTGGCTGTCTGTGGTTGGTAGGCAGTTCCATACGGATTTTAGGATTGGTTTTCTAGTTCACTGGAGACACTGGTGTTTGGTTGGGAGTGCACTGAATCTGTACATAGCTTTGGGCAATAAGGACATTTCATCGTTTATGAACATGGGATGTCTTTGAATTCTCTGTGTTGTCTTCAATTTCTTTTTGCATTGTTTCGCTGTTTTCTTTCATTAGAGAGACATAATCACTTCTAGTTAAATTTACTTCTAGGAATATTAGTTTTAGTAGCTACTATAAATAGGACTGTTTCCTTGGTTAATCACAGTGGGTGAAAATGTGGGTGATGATCTGTTATAAACTTAGTATCAAGGAAGCAGACACAGGAAAATGGATTATAAGTTCACTTGACAGGTACTCCACCCCCTTGACAGGTACTCCATCCAGTGGGGCTTTGTCCTGCTCACTGTCCTATACCTGTTGTCTAGAATAGGTTATAGGACAGACACAGTTGATTTTCAACAGATATCTGCCTTTACTTAGGCATGTGTTAGAAGAAATTTAACATCAAAGTGTTGGGAGAATATATATGAATAAGCAAAATGGTTGTATATTCTGAGTGTATAATTCAAAATTATGTAAATAAAATAGTCTATACAAAGAAGAAAATAAATAGGGTCTGAGCTGTGACTCTTTGGATAGGTAAAAGAACTTGTCAGTCTTGATGACCTGAGTTTGATCCCCAGATCTCACATGGTGGAAGGAGAGAACGCCCACAGGGTTTTCTTTGACCTGCACACAGCAGATACCTTGGTTCATGTTATATATATATATGAACACATACACAATAAGTCTAAAAATTACTTAAAAAGAAAAATGAAAACAAAAAAGTATGTCAGATTGCTAACTGGTTATCTTGAGCTTATCAAAGATTCTTTACACTTTTGTGGTGGGTTTTTGTATAGTGAGTCTACTGATTTCTTAAGGTGAGTATATTTTTGTATAAAATACCCCTTCTCATGGAGATTAGCAAGAATGATTGCAATTAATGGTAAATTGAACTTTGGAAGCCTAATTTAGGAGTTTGCGTAGTGCATGGACTTACAGTATTTTAACCATTTCTAAAAATGTGTGTTAAAGGATCAAGAATTGGTCAAAATAGTTGGAATACGGTATGAGGTTGGGCCACCTACACTCTGCTGCCTTAAACTGGCATTTATAGACCCGGCAACTGGAAGACTTACAGATAGATCTTTCTCCATTAGGTACGTACTGTCACCTTCCAGTGGCATTCTTCGCATTTAGATTTCATGTCTTTCTGATTAGTATGCATTAGCTGCATCCACCTGCAGAGCAGTATGGACAGCCTGAGGTGTGGGTCGGGCTTGGGATGACTGGAACCACCATTAGTAGTGTAGGTCTGGTGGGCAGCGACAGTCCATGTTTGGCTTTTCCACAGCTCTTACGTGGGCAGAGAACTCTAACTATGGGGAAAACTAGCTGTCTGGTAGCTACTAATCACAGAATGGCTGCTGAATATTTGAAGTGGGGCTGATTTGAATTGAGACTGCATTTGGAGACTGAAAATGTAGAACACGAATGGGCTGGGTGTGTTGGTGCATGCCTTTAATCCCAGCACTTGGGAGGCAGAGGCAGATGGATCTTTGTGAGTTCCTGGTCAACATAGTTCCAGGACAGCTGGGGCTACAGGAAGACCCTGTCTTTTTTTTTTTTTTTTTTTTTTTTTAAAAAAAAGGTCTTTGCATAGTTAAATAGTGTCTAACAGACATTGGGTTAAACAGGATAACACTATTAAAAATCATTGGTTTCACCGGGTATGGTGGCACACGCCTTTAATCCCAGCATTTGAGAGGCAGAGGCATGAGGATCTTTGTGAGATTGAGATGAGCCTGGTCTACACCATGAGTTCCAGGCCTCCTGGAGCTACAGGGAGACCCTGTCTCAAAAAGACCAAAGAAACCCAACAGATCATTGGTTTCTTACTGGGCATGGTGATACTTGCCTTTAATCTCAGCACCCAGGAGCTGGGGAAAGGAATAGAGAGAGAGGCCAACTCGGGCAACCTAGTGAGATGCTGCCTTAAAAATAAAACCCAAGCTGGGCTTGGTGGTACACACCTTTAAGCCCAGTGCTTGGGAGGCAGAGGCAAGCGGATCTCTGTGAGTTCGAGGCCAGCGGATCTCTGTGAGTTCGAGGCCAAGCCTGGTCTACATAGTGAGTTCCAGGACAGCTGGGGCGACAGGGAGACCCTGTTGCCAAAAAAAAAAAAAGACACCAAAAGAAAAGGCTAAATCAGATCATTGTGTGTGTGGTATATGCATATTCATTTGTGGGTACGTGTATAGAGGTGTGGAGGTTGGTGTCAGATGACTTTGTCAGTCCTTCTCTACCTCACTTTTTTTTTTGGTCTTTCAGAGACAGGGTCTCCCTGTAGCCCCAGCTGTCCTGGAACTCGCTATGTAGACCAGGCTGGCCTTGAACTCACAGAGATCCGTCTACCTCTGCCTCCCGAGTGCTGGGATTAAAGAGGATGGCCTTGAACTCACAGAGATCCACCTGCCTCTGCCTCCTGAGTGCTGAGACTAAAGGCGTGCGCTGCTATGCCTGGCTACCTTACTTTTTTTGAGTCAGAGTCTTAACTAAACCCAGAGTTGACCAGTTGGCTATGTTGAGTAGCAGTGAGCTCCAGGAATCTGCTTGACTCTGCCTTCCCATATTGGGATTATAGGAACGTAATGCCACACTTGGCTTTTATTTGGGTGTTGGGATTTGAACAGAGGTCCTTATGCTTGTGTGTCAAGCAGTTTTCCCAACTGACCTATCTCTCTAGTCTCTCTTTTTATCTTTTGTAAATATGGCTAGTTAGGGGGTAAGACTTGAGTTCAGTTGTGCTGGGAGATAGGTGGATTCCTAGGTTCCCTGGCCAGCCAGCATAGCCTGCTTAGTGAGTTGCAGGCCAGTGATAGTTCAATTCAGAGAACAAGTTTATGGCACTTGAGGAATGACACTCAGGGCTGTCCTTGGCCTCCATCCACCTGTGCACATGCATGCACGTTAACACCTACACAGTTGGGAGTTGTTGGTAGTCAGGAACCTAGACTCCATCCACACATGCACAAGCACACATTAACACCTGCACAGTTAAGAACTATTGCTAGTTAAAAACTTAGATATGGGTATACAGTTCCTGTTCTGTGTCTTTTGAACATGTTGCTTTCCACCATGACCTGTGTAGGCAGTCATGATTTTTCATTGTTTCCCAGATACCACGACATGCCAGATGTTATCGACTTTCTTGTGTTGCGTCAGTTTTACGATGAAGCAAGACAGAGAAATTGGCAGCCTTGTAAGTCTGTCCTCACTGAGTTTTAATGTACCTTAAAGACCTCCCATTGATCTGCCTTTTTGGGCATAGCCCTTTAATTTTAGAATTATGGTTTATACAAACAATTACTTTGCCTGGTGCTAATTGGTATCTATTTTATGGAACTTTTTAACCAAGCAATATCGATAGCTTCTGATTGTAGGGTCATTTTTGGAAAAAGGTTTTTTTTTTTTTTTTTTTTTAATCTATAGTCTCTAGACTAGAATCGACTATTTTAGACTTCCCTATATTACATTACATTATATCTTTAATGTAGTAATGGTATAATTTGTACTATTGTCCTAGTATTTAAAGTAATGCAATGGCAAGAAATAATTCCATATTTTGAACTGAAAATGTTGTGGTATGCCAAAAGTATTTACTTTGATACAACAACAACAACAAAAAAACCCACAATAAAGCCTAAATCAAATTATTTATCTCTTTTTCTCTTTGTTCGTATTTGTGTGTCTGTGGTATATGTTGTGGTTTAAGTGATATGTCTTGGGGAAACTGGTCCTTAAAGAAATGATCGATGGCTCAGCAGTTGAGTGCTTGTTGCCCTTCCAGAGTTTGGGTCTCAGCACTCATGCAGGGCAGTTCACAGTCATCAATAACTCCTCCAGGGATTTGGGTGCCCTCTTGTGGCCCCTGAAGGCACACACAACATGTGTACATGCTCACACAAAGACAAAAATAAAGTAAAAGATTAAAGAAATAAACATTGTGACTGGTAAGAAGGCACTCAGTGGACAAAGGCGCTTTGACTAAGGACCAGAATCTGATCCCTGGCATCCACATGGCCAGCCTCTTTAATCCTAGCACTTGGGAGGCAGAGGCAGGCGGATCTCTGTGAATTCAAGGCCAGCCTGGTCTACATAGTGAGTTCCAGGACAGCTGGGGCTACAGGGAGACCCTGTCTCAAAAAGACACCCCCCCTCCTAAAAAAAAAAAACTAATTTTGGCTGGCCTTGCAAGAAGAAGCCTGAGGTGCTTCCAGTCTGAATTCTGCATTTCCAAAACTAGGGCTGTGCTTCTCCTTCTCCTTTAGTAGATCAGGGTGGGGAGGGCTCTGAATAAACATGCTTGATTTTAAAAGGGCTGTGTGCCACCTGCTTTGAGAGCAAGTAAAAGGACCCCAGGGAAGTAACCTGTCCCCACACCTCAGGAAGAGTTGTCCAGCCGAGGTCCTGTCTGCAGTTCTTTGCTCTAGCCATCCCCTACTTTGGTATTGTCACAAGATTCAATTCCTATGTGCTGTGGAGGATGGAGAGTAGTTCAGAGGCTTCCTGAGTACTGAATGAATACTTTGAAAATTTTCCTTTAAGAAATATTTAAAAATGAGCCAGTCAAATTCCATTCTGTGCTGTGCACAGCCCTTTGATTTTCTGATACTGATTTGATGAAGAGAAAGGAAGGGAAGAGAAGGGAAGGGGTGCCTTTTAGCTGCCTGCATGCATAAAGATGCTGGCCAGAAGCTTCCATACAGTTTTCCACCAACATTTAGTCAGTTACCAGAAGCCTGCCTGTCTAAGCTACTTCACACAATCACAGGCTTCTGCTCATCTGCCTAACTTTGTTTTCGGTTCAGCCAGTGTTGACTAGGGGACCTGGGATCTCCACTATCCCAAGTATCCTCCTTGGTCACAAAATGATGCCTCTGCTTCTTGGATGCCCCCCCCCCCCCTTCCATCTAACTCTTACCTTTCCCCATATTTGGAGAGGTATCATGTTGGCAAAATTTGCTAGAAAAGACCTTCCTCAGAATAAGGCTCCTCAGGGATCCCAGGGGTTCTCTTAACAAGTTATAAGCAGATGGATTGGGAAGAAAAGGGTCCCTATCCTCCCTGCTTCGTTCTCAGGGTCCACTAGTGTCTATTCTGAAGATGCCTCACTTTGATCCAGGCCATGAACTTCTCTTGGTGGTCCTGGATCCCTCGAGAGACCATGGCTTGGATCTGCCCAGTGTCCTGGGTTTGGGGGCTCTGTATTTAGGACCAGAATGCTCTCTGAGGGGCAGGAGGTACCATTAGAGACAGTCCTGGCTGAGTACCTGAGTCCTGAGATTGAAAGTATTTCATGGTTTGCTTTGGGTCCTGCTGTCTTGAGGGAGGTACCACTGTGGTGGGCTCCATACAGCCCTCTTGGAGTGCTTCTGGGCCATGACCCTAGAGCTTCTGAGGATTTTAGGTCATAGCCTTTGGGAAGCTTGTATTGCTCAACAGCAGAGGCAGTGACTCCTCCCCTTGGAGCAGCTCCGCAGCTCAGTGTCCCTGGCTCCTTGTTCTGCTTTTGTCAGCTCTGTCTCGTTAGAAATACTGTTTGAGGGCTAGAGAGCGGGTCAGTGGTCAGGTGCACGTGGTGCTCTTGTAGAGGACCTGAGATCGGTTCATAGTGGCTCACAAGTGTGTACAATTCAAACTCCATGGGGATCAGACACTTCTGGCCTCCCTGCGCACTTGGATGTGCTCGTGTGCGTGCACATATACATGATTAAAAATAAATCTTAAAGATACTGTTGGACCCAAGCTGTTATCTGGGGCAGACACTCATAAATGCGATCAAGACCTCATTCATCTCCCCGGGCTCTGCCATCTGTTTTTGTAGGTGCTACAAATATTTAAGTTTTAGATACATTAATAAGGGCTGCTGTCAGTAGACTGCATGACGGCAAAGCCTTCAAGTAGTCAGGATTATTTCGGGATTGAAAGCAGAGGAAATTTTTCTTGTAGGAAAATACCTAGTCCTAGTCATCAGCAGCAACACAAGGAACTTAGATGCACAGCCATTGTGAGTCTCAGATGTGATGTAAGGTAGAGTTCTCATTTTACCAACAAGTCAGCTCCGAAGACTTAAGAATGAGCCAGAAAAGGGGCTGGAGAGTTGGCTGAGCGGTTAAGAGCACTGACTACTCTTGCAGAGGGACCTGGGTTCAATTCCCAGCACCCACATGGTAGCTATGAACTGTCTGTAACTCCAGTTCCAGGGGAATCTGAAACCCTCTTCTGATCTCTGTGGCATTGCATGATGTGGGTGCACTCGCATGCAGGCAATACACTCATACACATAAAAATAATAAAATATTAATGAGCCAGAAAAATGACTCAGACATGGGAAAGCATTTGCTGTGTAAACCTGACCACTTGAGTTTAATTCCCATATCCCATGGAGAGAACTGACTCACTCCACACCTTTCGCCCATGCACAAATACATCACACACACACAGAGTTAAAAAAAACCCTTTAAAAACGAAATGTAATGGTTTGTTTCCCTTTCCCTTTGTAGTTAATGTTTTGTTTCATTATTGTATCTGAGGTACTATTATTTATATCTGATCTTTTATGCTTAACTTGATTTTTGTTTTTCCATAGTTGGTGTGGCTAGAGAAAGCTGCTTGCTTTCATCTTTTCAGTGTGTCTGTCCTACTCTTGAAAGGCCAAACTTAATTTGAAAAATCTTAGAGGATTTACAACCTGTTCAGATACTAGACATCTTTCTTTGTTGTTTGGAAAATGCTGTTATTTTTGTAATGTATGCAAAGCATAGATGAGATGTGTTTTGTTCTGCTCATTGAAGTCAAAGTTAAATAGTTGTAGGATACAGTTAAACACATACATTTAAAATTTTTACTTACACTTTTTTTTTTTTTTTTTTTTTCGGTCTTTTTGAGACAGGGTCTCTCTGTAGCCCCAGCTGTCCTGGAACTCCCTGTATAGACCAGGCTGGCCTCAGACTCACAAAGATCCACCTGCCTCTGCCTTTACACTTTTTAATGTGTGTGTGTGTGTGTCCATGTATGCACATGCCCATACACATGGTATGGTGCATGCTAGGCCATTGAGTATACCCCAGCCCCATCCTGTAATTGTATTGGTCTAGAGGAGCCATTTCAAGATCAATTGATCTATGTTTCTTTCTGAAGATTTTATGTGTATGAGTGTTTTGCCTGCATGTATGTAAGTGTACCACATGCATGCTTGGAGCCTGTGGAGGCCAGAAGAGGGTGTTAGATCTTCTCTAAAGTTAAGGATGGATGTTAGCCACCATTGGGTGCTGGGAACTGAACCCTGGTCCTCTGCAGGAACAGCCAGTGCTCTTAATCACTGAGCCATCTCTCCAGGTCCCTGAGTTTCACCTTAAAAAATTGTGCGTGAGAGTGTGTGCATATCATGGTACACAGAGGACAGCTTGTGGGAGTTAACATTCTCCTTCCACCTGTGGCCAGAGATTGAACTCAGGTCATCAGGTGTGGCAGCATGCGCCTTTACCAGTTAAGCCATCTTGCCAGTCCCAGACCTGATTCTTTACTCTTGAAGCAATTTAATCATGAAGTCTAATGATAGTTACTGTAATTTTGAACTCAAGTTTTATGTGTTCCATTATGTTTTAATATATTTGCCATGCTCACAAAGAATGATAATTTCCCCATGTATGAACTGAATCCAGGGCCTTATGTAACACTAAGCAAGTGTTCTCCCACTGTGCTGCATCTGCAGCCTTGAGATTTTTGAATTTTCTTAACTTTTGCTTTGTTTCATCTTGTAAAATATATATGGCTTGTTTGAAGTGCCTTTTGACTGCAGAGAACAACGGAACAGGTTGAAGCCATTTTGTTCTATTTTGTTGCACTGTGTGACTATTTCTCTGTATTGATAAGTGTGCCATACCTTCCTGACATCTGTATCCCTGATAATTATAGTGCAGACAGGCTGGCACATTTCACAATAATATGTACTGATTTCTGTTCTCTATTTATATATTATGGTGTTTATAGGTAAAACTTGTTCATGACATTAGCAAGTAGATGCCTCAGACCTGATCATTTCTCTTATAGGTGACAGATTTCGATCTATTATTGATGATGCCTGGTGGTTTGGAACGGTGTTAAATCAAGAGCCTTACCAGCCACAGTATCCTGACAGCCATTTCCAGTGCTACATTGTTAGGTTTGTATACAGAGGAAAATAACTTCCTGTTACAGGTCACTGTATGGTTAGTATGTTTAATATGTTTTAGGTTTTCTGTTGGTTTAAAAAAAATTATTTTTTTATTTTATGTGTATGACTGTATTGTCTGCATGTGTGTGAGTGCACCCATGTTATGCAATGCCTGTGGAGGTCAGAAGAGGGTGTTGGATTTCCCTGGAACTGGAGTTACAGATGGTTGTTAGCCACCATGTAGGTGCTGGGAATCAAACCTGGGTCCTCTGCAAGAACAGCCAGTGCTCTTAACCAGAGCCGTCTGTCCAGCTCTTCTTTTCTGTAGTTTTTTTTTTTAATCATGAAATCTGACCTCCAGAATGGGTGTTAAACATATACCACACCTGTGCATTTCTCGAGTCAGTCGCAGCCCAGTGTTGATAATTTATCAGTAGTAATCTTCAGTGGGTATTATAAAGAACATGGGCTGTGGTACAGAGTCATGCTGTGCAGCTGGTGCCCACGCCTGCATGCTGTTTTCACAGTCTTCTTTGGGTACAGGTCAATTAGGAGTTGTTGTCTTTTTTCCATAAACCTAACTTTAAAATTTTATACATTTTATATTTTCTCTCTCAGAAATCTTAATGTTTAAATTTTAATTGCTGCTGTGAGATTGTTGATGTATTTCTTTTGTAATTGATGACTGGCTAACTGGAGTTTCACTGTTTTTTGTTAAACAGGTGGGACAATACTGAAATTGAAAAACTAAGCCCATGGGACATGGAGCCAATTCCAGACAATGGTACCTATTTATCAAGTTAGGAAACTGTTTTATCTTTCAGTGTTTATCTTGTTGGATGTACATGATAGAGCTCCTTTGTGTCCTTTCATAAATGTTTTTAAATTATTGAAGAATCTCAGAACTCCACTAAAAGAAGGCAGTCGTTTTACACCTGTTGGCTGGTTTCCTTTCCATCTCACATTCTGGATTTGTTCAGCTGTGTCTTGGCAGTGAGCTGCGGTTTTTCCTGTAAGCTGCTTTGACTTCTCCATCAACTCCAGCACAGAGCTACCACTTTCTGTCCCTCACCGTGTTCTGGGGCTCATCCTTACGAGGGTCTCACTTGCCTTCCTGCTTCCCTCAGCCTGTGCTCCTGTCTGGAGTCAGCCCTTTTTCAGCACTTGGCTGTCCTCCTTCTGGAGCTCGTGTTGTCCTCTGGTCAGCGTGGACTGAGTCTCCTGCACCGTCATGGGATGTTGTAGTTCCGCCATCACTGCTGCCTGTTTCTGCTGTTTGTTTGGTGCTGACCATCTCTGGTTGCCATTTTTTCACTCCTCTTATCACTCATGTTTTCACAGCTTGCAGAAAAGACCAAAACCCCAGCACTTTGAATAACACGCCCTTCCTACAGGCTGTGCCTTTCTCCTTGGTCTTCTGCCTGCCAGCTTCCAGATCTTCACCAATATGTGAAAAAAGACTGTTAGGGAAATACAGATTTAAAAAAAAAATATATTTATTTTTTGTCTTTTTGAGACAAGGTCTCCTTGTAGCCCCAGAGTTCCTGGAACTCACTATGTAGACCAGGCTGGCCTCAAACTCACAAAGATCCACTTGCCTCTGCCTCACAAGTGCTGGGACTAAAGGCGTGTGCTACCACACCTGGCTTAACTTTTTAATCTTTTTCCTGAGGTAGATGCTCACTCTCTAGCACAGGTCAGCATCAGCCTTATGGTTGTCTTCCTGGTTCAATTTCAGGTGTGCTGGGATGACAGGTGCACACCGTGCCTGCTGGCTTTGGTTATGTTGTACAGTAACTTTATAATAACGGCAGTAGTGAAAGTCACCAATAATTCTTTTCTGAGATTTTCTTCTAAGTTTATTAACTTACAATTTGTGCCTAGTCGTATAAAAAGAAACTTTGTAGTGTATGTGTGTACAGTGTGTGTGTGTGTACAGTGTGTATGTGTACAGTGTCCGTGTGTACAGTGTGTGTGTACAGTGTGGATGTGTACAGTGTGGATGTGTACAGTGTACGTGTGTACAGTGTGTGTGTGCACAGTGTGTGTGTGTAGCGTGTGGATGTGTACAGTGTACATGTGTACAGTGGGGATGTGTACAGTGTCCGTGTATACAGTGTGGATGTGTACAGTGTACATGTGTACAGTGTGGATGTGTACAGTGTGTATGTGTACAGTGTGTGTGTGTGTACAGTGTGTTGGATGTGTACAGTGTCCGTGTTTACAGTGTGTATGTGTACAGTGTGGATGTGTACAGTGTCCGTGTGTACAGTGTGGATGTGTACACTGTGGATGTGTACAGTGTGGATGTGTACAGTGTCCGTGTTTACAGTGTGTATGTGTACAGTGTGGATGTGTACAGTGTCCGTGTGTACAGTGTGGATGTGTACACTGTGGATGTGTACAGTGTGGATGTGTACAGTGTCCGTGTTTACAGTGTGTATGTGTACAGTGTGGATGTGTACAGTGTCCGTGTGTACAGTGTGGATGTGTACACTGTGGATGTGTACAGTGTGGATGTGTACAGTGTCCGTGTTTACAGTGTGTATGTGTACAGTGTGGATGTGTACAGTGTCCGTGTGTACAGTGTGGATGTGTACACTGTGGATGTGTACAGTGTGGATGTGTACAGTGTCCGTGTTTACAGTGTGTATGTGTACAGTGTGGATGTGTACAGTGTCCGTGTGTACAGTGTGGATGTGTACAGTGTCCGTGTGTACAGTGTGGATGTGTACAGTGTCCGTGTGTACAGTGTGGATGTGTACAGTGTCCGTGTGTACAGTGTGGATGTGTACAGTGTCCGTGTGTACAGTGTACGTGTGTACAGTGTCCGTGTGTACAGTGTGGATGTGTACACTGTGGATGTGTACAGTGTGGATGTGTACAGTGTGGATGTGTACAGTGTGAATGTGTACAGTGTCCGTGTGTACAGTGTGGATGTGTACAGTGTCCGTGTGTACAGTGTCTGTGTGTACAGTGTGGATGTGTACAGTGTCCGTGTGTACAGTGTCCGTGTGTACAGTGTGGATGTGTGGATGTGTATAGTGTCCGTGTGCACAGGTAGGTAAACCCAGCCTTCCCTTGTACTCTCTTGAAAGAATTTTTCTCTATATCAGCTCATTCTTGCCGAGGTTGATTACTGTATTGTTAATTTTACAAATGAAGAAATTTAAGCCTAAAAGAGTTTTAGAGAACTTGTTTAAAAAGGAATAGGAGCAGAACAGGATTCCAACTCAAGCCAGTAGTCCCTGAACAGTCCTCTTAAGAGCTGTTTGCAGTTCCTTCCTTATAAGGATGTTTAAAACCAATGGAGGAACCTCTGCAAATTATAGCCCCTAATGAGGATAGTCGGCCTTTATAAGATTGTCAGGAGACATAAGCAGGCATGTGAAAAGCGGTGGAAATGCAGGTTAAAATACAGGCTGCTGTCACCAGTCCTGCTAACGCTTTTCTCCTGTGTTACAGCCAAGAGCACCTCTGACTGCCTGTATTTCATCTTTGTTTTTTGGATATTTACTTTGTCACTTATTTTATTTATTTATTTATTTTGGTCTTTTTGAGACAGTGTCTCCCTGTAGCCCCAGCTGACCTGGAACTCGCTATGTAGACCAGGCTGGCCTCGAACTCACAGAGATCTGCCTGCTTCTGCCTCCTAAGTGCTGGGATTAAAGGTGTGCTCCACCATGCCCGGCAACTTTGTCACTATTTATTGCACTTAAAAAAAGCTTTGTTTTAGAGCCAGGCGTGGTGGTGCACGCCTTTAGTTCCAGTACTTGGGAGGGAGAGTCAGGCAGATCTCTGTGAGTTTGAGGCCAGCCTGGTCTATGTACCGAGTTCCAGGCCAGCTGGGGCTATAGGGAGACCGTTTCAAAAAGACAAAAAAAAAAAAAAAAAAGTTCATTTCTCATCCTATATCACCTAATAATTTTACCATTCACTGGTGATTCTTTCTCAGATAAGCTTTATTACCAAATAGTAGGTTTTTAAAAAAAAATATTTCTTTTGTAAGTATTTTGCATTGTGTGTTCTTTAATATTTTAAGAGTTGGAATTCTAGTATAGGATACTCTCTCTTTTCAGTTTATAAGGCAGTAAGCTGTTATACTGTTGAAGATTTGACCCTTGGGAGAGCCCTTCCAGTCTACCTTTAGGTATTAGTCAGTTTTTTAGTATTTTTCGACAATTTAATACATTTAAATACCTTTTTGTGTTTTCCTTATCTTAGCTATAATACTCCAGAGCCTGTGGTATTTACAAAATAAAGATATATCTTTATTGAATGAATTGTGTGGATGTACACCACATTTTTTTAAAATCCTTTTTATTACTTGATATTTGGGTTATTTCTACTTTTTGACTATAAACACTGCTGTGAATGTCATGTACATGTTTTATAGGCCTGGAATTGCTGGCTCATGTGTTGTTTAACTTTTTCTAGTGTATTTCACATACACAAACAGCAGCGTGTGTGAGCTGCAATTTATCCACATCCTATGCAACAGGTATTAGACTAACAGTCATTAGACTTCTTAGGGTGTATGAAATACTGCTATAGTTTTGGTTTGCATGTCCTTGATGGCTAATGGTATTTAGCATCTCCATTTGCTTTTATTCATCTTTTATGTACCTTTAGAGAAATACTCAGATCCATTGATAACTTTTTAATTGGGCTAATCATTATTTTGTGTATGCGTGCACCTTGTAAGTTTGTGTTCGTGTAGAGACCAGAGGTCAGTCAATATTGGGTTTCTTTTCCTTGGGTGTCACACTTTTTTGGAGGGGGGGGCACATGATTTCTTAGTGGCTTGGGGCTCGCCTGCCTGGTTAGCAAACCCTCAACCCCAGGAATCTATCTGGCTCCACCTCCTGTTCATCAGCATTATAAGTGTGCCACTCCAGTCTGGGTTTTTTAACTTTTTTGGTTTTCTTTTGATTGCTGTGATAGAACTGACCAAAACCAACTCAGGGAGGAAAGGGTTTAATTGGCTTCAAATTTTAGTCTCCCATTGAGGGAGGCCAGAGCAGGAGTTTGCAGTAAACTGATGGAGAGATCTGGAGGCTGCTACTGAGTGGCTTGCTCAACTATTTCCCTTAAGCCCAGGCCTACCGGCTCAGGCATGGCACTGCCATCAGTGGGCTGGGCCCTCCTACATTAATTAAGAAAATGTGCCACAGTGGCAGATGGCTTTTTTGCCTCTCTGAGCTTGAGGCTAGCCTTGTCTACATAGTAAGTTCCAGGCCAGCTGTGGCTATAGGGAGACCTTGTCTCCAAAAAACAAAACCAAAAGAAATGAAAATGGTCCACAGACATGACTGCAGATCAGTCTGAAGTTCAGAGACAGTTCTTCAGTTGAGTCTCTTCCTGGGTGGTCAGGTTGTGTACTAGTTCCTTTTCTGTTGCTGTGATAAAACACCATGACCAAGGCAACTTAAAGAAGGAAGAGTATATTTGGCTTATGGTTCCAGCGGGAGGATCCATAATGGGGGTTGGGGGGCAGTAGGGAGGTAGCCTAAGCAGAAAGTTAAGCGATCGCATCTTCAAGTGGGCACAGAAAGCAGAGAGAAACTAGAAATCTGGTAAGTCGTGAGAACTCTCAAAACCCGCCCCCAGTGACCTGCTTCCTCCAGCATGGCCACGCCTACTAAAGGTTCCATGACTCTCCAGACAGTGCCACGAACTGGGGACCAAGTGTCCAAATACTTGCAGCCTTTGGGGGACTTTCTCATTCAAACCACCACAGGTTGACAGTTGAAGTTAGCTCTGACACTTGGGCTCTAGGGATTGAACTCAGGCCCCCATGCTTGCTTGGCAAGCACTTTACCAAAAGCATTGTCTCCTAGCACAGCCATTATGCTTTGAAAATCCTAGTTTTCATTCCTTTTAAGGATTGCTAGGTGAGATGGAAGTGCATAGCTGTTTTCCCATTACTAAGGAAGGACACTGACGTACACTCAGTCCTGTGTTCTAAGTCAAGAAGTCCTACAGGCTGGCTGGTGATCGCAGGGTTCTGCCCCTGTTGGATATGATTCTTCTAAGTCATTAGTGGCCTTTTCCAGCCTCATATTTTTTTCCTACACACTCAGATTGTCCAGAGCTTAGCTTCTTTTCTCTTTGGCCTCTCCCAGTCTTTCTGGCCCCAGGCAGTCTCTCTGGTTCCATCTGGGTTCTTCTTCCCTGAGCCATGACCTGGCTCCTTGGGCCAGCTGTGGTGACCCTTCCTGTGGCTTACCTTATTTATTTTGGTTCTCAGTGGGGATTCATGTTGTTTGCGTAGTGTTCAGTGAGGTGAACTGTTGTTTCTTATGTACTGTCTCCATGTATATATCTGTTTGTTGTTGTTTTAGCCTGAATAATGCATATCAGCCCTGTTACTTTATATCTTGTCCAGAAACAACACCCTAGTTAACTACTGAGCACTTTCTATATCTAAATAACACTCCGAGGTAGCACCTTTTCTCTTTGTATATGTGTGTGTATGCACCATGTAGATGTGTGTGGAAATCCAGGGTGGTTGGGGTGTCTTCCTCAGTTGTTTCCCCCTTCCCCCTCTTATTTCTTTGAGACCGTCTGAACCTGGATCTTACCATTCCCACTAGAGTGGCTTACTGGTGATTCCCCTGGGACCTACCTGTCTCTGACCCCCACTTTGGGGTTACAGGCATATATCTCCTCACCTAGCTTTTTACATGAGTGCTAGGGACTTAAACTAAGGTCCTCCTGCTTGTGCTGTAAGCGCTTAACCTTCTGAGCCATCTCCTCAGTCCCAAAAACTCTTCACCTGTTTAGGAGGTGGGTTTAAAATATAAGACACAAGATAAGAACTTGGCTGGGGAGATCCCTCATTTGGTAAAATGCTTACTGTGCAGGCATGAAGCCCCAAGTTGAATCCCAAACCCCCAGGAAAAGCTGAGTGTGGTGGCACACACAACCCTAGTGCTTGAGAAGCAGAGACAGAGGATCCATGGTTCTTGCTTGTGGCTATCCTGTCCGCAAACCCCAACTCTCTTGTGAGAGACCTTGCCTCAAGAAACAGGGTAGACGTGACTTCTGAGGACCAAGATACGAGGTTGATCTCTGGCCTCCATGTACACCCACGCACACAAATAGGAACCTGCACGTCACTAAAAAGAAATTGCTAACATTGAGAGCTAGGCCCAGGGGTGCATTTGTGTTTTTAAGTACGTATCCGTTGCTGCTCCTGCTTGATTTTGCCTTTCTTGTAAATGTTACTTTGGAATAGATTATAAAAGTGCAAAAATATTTGCTCCTCAGAGTAATGGGGTGGTCTTTTTAAACTTTTTTTTATGTCCTTGAAGGAAATAATACCAAAATTATTTTGTAAGAACATAAATTATAGGTTTGGATGTAGCTTAGTGGTAGAGCACTTGTCTAGTGTGCACAAGTCCCTAGGTTCAGTTCCCCAGTACAACAAAATTAACAATTAAAAATAAAAATAAAATGAATTAAAGCCTATAGGATTCATTTACCATTGACACCTTAACCTTTTCATCCTGTAACTAGTAATAAAATTTCCTTCTGTTAGATCTAAACTTTGAAATTAAGGTCTTTCACAAAGAAATTAAGCAACTGGGGGCTTGAGGGATGGCTCAGTGGTTAAGAGCACTGACTGCATTTCCAGAGGACCTGGTTTGATTCTTAGCACCCACATGGCAGCTAACAACCATCCATAACCCCAGTTCCAGGGGGACCTGATGCCTTCTTCTGACCTCCATGGGCATTGCACGACATGGTGCACTTAACATGCAGGTTTGTACACATAAAATAGAAATAATATTTTTTAGAAAGTCAAGCAACTGGTGCTGTGTAAAACATTCATAGTAACTTGAAATAATATTTTTTTGGAAGAAGTGTTCCCTTAATTAAGCATTATCACACCCATCCACTAATACAGAATTTGCTGTAGTAATGCTCTTTGAAAGCCCCTGACCTTTGGTTTGCACAGTGTTCTGAAAAGACATGACCACCACAGCTAATGACATTCTTAGCTCTTAGCACTCCTATGTAATGAGCAGAAATATTTTACGCCTAATTTTGGATTTTTCTCCCTATTTTTCTCCTTAAGACCTTTTGAGAAAAAGTAACTGATTTTTAATTTACTTCATTGTGTGCTTCTGTCAGTTGAAAGGAGTTGGCTGGTTGTGTTCTTGGGATCATTTTCTCCATTTTCGTTTTGCAGGTTTTGTTTGTTTTTTGTTTGGTTTAGTTGGCAACTCAGGCCTGGAACTTGCTGTGGGTTCCAGGCCAGCTGGGGCTACAGGGAGACCCTGTCACAAAAAGAAAAACCAATAATTATTTTTATTTTATGCTTATGTGTGTATTGCATGCATGTCAGTAGTTGCACCCATGTCATGTAATATCCTCAGAGGTCAGTAGAGGGCGTCAGATCCCTGGGAACTGGAGTTATGAATGGTAGTTAGATGCAGTGTGACTGCTGGGATTTGAACCTGGGTCCTCGGCAAGAGCAGCCAGTGCCTCTAGCTGCTAAGCCATCTCTCTATCCCCCAAGAATTTTCCTCTTTTAAGATAGAGACTGAAGCCATGGTTACAATCCCTTTGAATGTTATGACGGGTATCTTGTGTTAACCCCTGAACTAAAGCAACTGGGATGATCCAAAAATGGATACTTTTTAGAAAGTTCCAAATTTGACACCTGATTTTGAGTGGAGGTCACCTAGTTTGTGAGCTTTCCTAACTGAATTTTAAGAAATGGCATACGTGGGTTTTTGGGGGTTGACTTTTTATTTTTCTCCCCTCTATTCTTTCTTTTCCTTTGAAATGGGATTTATAGTTGATCCACCAGAAGAATTGGGAGCAAGTATTTCTGTCACATCAGATGAGCTAGAGAAGTTGCTTTACAAACCGCAAGATGGTGAATGGGGCCAGAAATCAAGGGATGAAGAATGTGACCGCATTGTCAGTGGCATAGATCAGCTTTTAAATCTCGGTGAGTTTTAGCAAGGTAAAAAGTTTGATTTCCAAATTTTCCATAAAACAATTTCCTTAAAAAATTTTTTTTTTCATTTATTATTTTTATGTGTATGTGTGTATTGCCTGCATGTAGGTAAGGGCACCCGTGTCATCCAAGGCCCAAGGGCCAAAAGAGTAGTGTTACCTGGTGTTCTAGATGGGATAGCCAGCAAAGTACCGTCACAGGACCAAAGAGACAACTGGATGAACTGACTATGAAACATGCTTATAGCTATAGTAAGAGACTATCGGAAGGAAGGAAGAGCTTCTGGAGAGATACTGAGGAGATGATGAGCTTGACATGTATATCCAAAGACCAGCATGAATACCAGCAGGGGAACTTGCACTGAGGGATATCTGCATACACAAGCTTGATTTGATAGGCCTTAACATATATGACAGATGGCATGCAATCCAGCGGTGGGGGTATGGAGGGGTGCAGATGGGGGAGGGTGTATAAAGATGATTAAGATGTTTTGTTTTAAGTATTTTGTTTATTATTTTTATGTGTATGTGTGTATTGCCTGCATGTAGGTAAGGGCACCCGTGTCATGCAAAGCCCAAGGAGGACAGAAGAGGCTGTTGGATCCCCTGGGACTGGAGTTACAGACAGTTGTTAGCTGCCATGTGGGTGCTGGGATTTGAACCCCTGGGTTTTCTGCAAGAACAGTCGGTATTCTTAACCGCTGAGCCATCTCTCCAGCCCCTCCATAAAACAATTTCAAAATTGTGTAGTTTAGGTTGCATCCCTTACTATAATTTCTTTTTGATTCCTTTTGGTTTGTCACATTAAATGGAGCCCGTATGAGTAGATTTGTAGATTGACACCACTTCAGAGTAATGAATTCATTGGTTCAAAGCTTAGCATTCTGTCTCCCTGCAGATATGGCAGCAGCCTTTGCAGGCCCTGTGGATCTGTGCACCTATCCAAAGTACTGTACTGTTGTGGCTTACCCAACTGATCTGTACACAATTCGAATGAGGCTTGTTAATCGATTTTACAGGTTAGTAGAAAACCCTTTTAAAAGTAGCAATAAAGCCCTTTGACCCTATCAATTAAAGTAAACAAAGAGGTGCTCACTCACAGTGAGTTTCAGGTGCTGGTGAACATAATTGCCTGATGGATTATATGCTTGCTGGGTGATCAGAGTCAGGCTGAAGGCGACTTCCCATCTTCAGTATTCAGTAGTATAATTTATTGTTTTTAGAAATCATATTAAGTACCTAGACATTGAATTTTTCATTTGTATGTTAAATTTCTTTTTTTTTTCCTAATTTTTATTTTATTTTATATGTATGCTATGCGTGTACTGCCTGCATGTAGGTAAATGCACCCATGTTGTGCAATGCCCGAGGAGGACAGAAGAGGCTGTCTGATTCCCTGGAACTGGAGTTAGGACAGTTGTTGGCTGCCATGTGGGTGCTGGGATTCGAACTCGGGTCCTCTGCAAGAACATCCGGTGTTCTTAACTGCTGAGCCATCTCTCCAGCCCCTAAAATTCTTTTTAAAAATTAATTTTATTTTATGTGTATGAATGTTTTGCCTGCTGCATGCAATGCCACTGGAGGCCATCAGCTGGAACTGGAGTTACAGAGGGTTGTTAGCTGCCATGTGGATGCTGGGAAATAAACCCCAGTCCTTTTGGAAGGACAGTCAGTGCTCTTAACCACTGAACTATCTCTATAGCCCCTGAATTATTTTTTTTAATGCATGCGTGACGAAAAAGATTTTTTTTATATATGTGTATATGTATATGGTGTGTGTATGTGTATATATGCCAAATGTATGCCAGTGCCTGAGGAGAAAACTGCTGATCGATCTCTTCCATCCAGTTAGAACTTTATTAATAATCATGAGCTTACAAATGAAAAAAAATTATGAAACAATGTAACTCCCATTTTTATAATAATGCAGATTGTGGATTTAGTGTGTATTGCATAAAGTATTGCATAAAGTTTTGGCATGAAGTGACCCACAAAATCGTAGGAGTCATTTCTCTCTGTCTCACTCTGTCGCCCTGACTGGCCTGGAACTTACTATGTAGGCCACTGTGTAGGTCAGGCTGGCCTTGAACGCACAGAGATATGTCTTCCTCTGCCTCCTGAGTACTTGGATTACAGGTGTGCCCCAGGGAGTGCTCGTCTTGAGGTGGCCCAAATTTGAAAAGTTTCAATTTTGCCCTTCTTTCTGTGAGTTAAAGGTTGTTTTTTTTTTTTTTTTTGGTTGTTGTTGTTGTTTTTTTTGTTTTTTTAATGTTTTGGGGTTGGGGGGGGTGTTTCCTTTTCT